GAGATTTGAGGGAGTTTATAAAGTGGAAGCAGGACGCTGATTGGGCTTCGTGGTGGAGTAGTTCGAAGCTGATTGGCTCGCTTCAGAGACGGATCGGCTTCTGATTGATGGAGGTAAGTCAGAGTTTCTTCAATTGAACTTTCGCTAGAGCTTCATTAGTTCTTTCCTACTAAGAATTTTCAGTTTCATAACAGATGATATCAGCTGCATAACTAACCTCAGCCTCTAACAATTTCTGAGTTTAGCAAATGACCAATCTCAACATTCTATATTTTATGCTGCGTTCAGACAGATCGCATTTTAGGCAACAAATGCATGTAAAGACCGAAATTTGGGCGCTAGGTCAATCGGTGCTTTATTATCCTACTGCATCATTGCTCTCAGTAATTTTTCAATTAAATATAGTGTATTGATTAAACATTAGCAAATTAACATATACATGCAATAGATATTTAACATTTGTAATTGTTATAAATCAAAATCATCCAATATCTTTTGAATACATTCAATACAAAATATAAGGCAAAATAAGTTAATATTTACTGTTATCCATTTTTGTAGAGTTCTATCCCGTAACAAAGAATTCACTGAGAACATGTCAAAAAAATGAAAACATATTCAAGGGATACAATTGTTGTGGCAGGAAGCAGTATGATGAAAGCAATATGAGTACTTTAGGATGGCTATTTTTCATACTTGCTGATAGGTTGACATTACAACTTTGTGGTATTGTTATCTATAAGGCTAAATAAACAGATTCTGTTAATCAAAAATAGTCTATTTCTCACTTTTCTTTTTAATTTCATTGATGTATTTTTATTTGTGTCTGGATCCATTGTAAGCTGCACAAACTGTAACTTTCCTCACCTCTGTCAGGACGGGTTGTTGATCTCCTCCCAAGAAGTGTGCGCCCTTGAGGACATCTGGGAGGAAACGGCCACTGAGTGGCACCCAGCACAGCTTCCATGAGACAAAGAGGGAGACGCTAAAGAGCGCCAGACCACAGGTGGTCACCAGCAGCGACAGCAGACTCACCGATACATCTGCAGAGAAAGGACAGGTGTTCGGTAAACAGGCAGCAACGGCTCTGCTGGTGAAAAGCCCTGGCAAAGACAGAAGTACAGCGTTGCCACAGAGAGGGCAGGCTGTATTTACTCAGAAATGAAAACACAAGAGCAAAGCTTATTTTTTTAACAACTTATCAAAGCATGTTTTTTCCTCGGCCCAGTGAAAGATCAGCTGAGAGTGATAAAAGATAAATGTTTAAAGTTTCCTCATCCTTCTTCGTGCCGTCAAGGAAGGCAGCTGTTGAGAAATGTTTATCTGGTCAGTGAAAGATATATTAAATTTTCTTAATGAACTGAAGTTGTTTTTCCTGTGTGTGAGAAAGTTCTTTATGCAGGGGGTGGGGTGGTTCCATGGGACGGAGAGTGTGTTGGGATTTTGTAAGGTATAAATGTGTGTGCTGAGCTTGCCCCAGTCAGAGCTTTTCTCTCCGCCTACGGACGTAAAATAAACCTGTATTTTTGCAAAAATTGCCTTTGCCTCAGCTTCCAAACTCCACAAACCTTTAGAGCAGATGATCTAATATGGCCACAATTACAGATAGGAGATTTTCAAGGGGTAGTTCTATGAACATCTGAACGTCTTTCTTTAAGAAAATATATTGAATACAAGAAAATGTGTTAATTCAACATGCATCTTCATAGTAGGGTTCTTATAATTATTGTCTCACCTACTTCTAAAGTCAGCAGTGATTTGCTTTCCTTTTTTGTTCTTGCATAAATGTGCAGCTTCAGAAAGGCTGAGAAAAATCCTGCTTTTCCTCTATGATCATTCACCAGTTTGGATAAGTCTCTCACTATATCTAGAAGCACTGCTAATGTGGAGAACTGGAAATGTCACCCGCCTGTCCTGAGAACTGGTCTAATCAAATTAAGAATTCAGGAAGTGTGACTTTTCCTCTGGCATGGCTTTATTATTCATTACTCTATGACATAAAAATGTTTACGTTATTCTACATTTTTAGGTACTAATGCATAAGCTTTAAAATAAATCTTACAATATAACAAACTACGGGTTTGGACAGACAGACAGACATACTTTGCATAGTGAACTTACTATATTGATTTTTTTTATTTGCTGAGAATTGAGGCTTACCTCATGTTCTTTCTTCAGTCCGTCACACAAGTTTAATATAGCACATATCATTTAATATAGCATTTAGGCTATAGGGCTTAAAGACAGGGCCGACCCAAGCGTCCATGGGGCTCTCAGCAACATTGGATGTTGGGGCCATCTAATTCTTTTTTTCTGTAAATATCTGATGATCAGCTTAGTCACACATCTACTATACACTTCTTGCAGCTGTCGCTGTGCTGTTTACAATCTTCTACTAGTTTACATCATCTAGTGGTGCTTAAAATGATAGTGTAAACAATTCTAAAGTTTATTTACAGTAAAAGTGTTTGTGGTTTAAACGTTTTGGATCTACATAGCTCCAAAGGTAATGGGAAAAAAAAACTGTAATGCAAGAACAACAATAAATAAATAAAATAGCTTTGATAAATAAAATACATTAAATAGTAAAACAACAGAAAAAAATAAAATCAAATAGCACTTTACAATTCAATTCAGTTTATTTCTATAGCCAATTCACAACACAAGTCATCTCAAGGCACTTTACAATTCAACCAGATCATACAGTAAAACAACAACAACAAGTGCTTCACAGAAAGATAAAAACTTTGCAAAAACAAAAATAAACTAAAATCATGAGTATTAAACAATGTTAAGTATTAAAAGCCAGTTTGAAAAAATGTGTCTTTAATCTGGACTTAAAAAATTGGCAGATCTGTGATAACCTGCAGGCCAAGGAGCAGGTTGTTCCACAGTTTAGGTGCTGTAACCACCAAGGAACAATCGCCCCACTGTTTATACCAGGACCTAGGGACGTCCAGAACCATTTGATCAGCAGACCGAGCTCTGCTGGTGTGATGTATGGGCAACATCCCAGTTAAACATAATGGAGCGCGACCATGAAGGGCTTTAAAAACAAGTGTTAAAACTTGTTCAATCAGAAAACGGACCTGGAGCAAGTGCAGGGAGGAGAGGATGGGAGTGATATGGCTTTACCTGGATTAGCCAGAGAGGAGACAAGCTGCTGCATTCTGTACTAACTGTAAACGTTGGAGTGACGACTGTGGGAGGCCAGAGTAGAGAGTATTGCAAGTGTCCAACTAGAACTAATAAATGGGTGAGTCGCCTTCTCCAGGGCTTGGCGTAAGAGAAAAGCTAGCTTTGAAAAAAGCATTTATTTGTTGTTTGAAGTTCAGTTTGCGGTCGAAGACAACTCCCAGGTTCCT